CGGCGCACGCGCGCTCCGGCCCCGGCCCACGCCCCCGGACACGAGGACTACGGCGCATGCTCAGTAATAAAACGAGCCCGTTTGTGCCCTCTGGAGGCCTGGAGGACTCCGCGCACCGTCTGGCAGGTGCATTTGCAAGGTGCGTGTGTATGGGTACAAACTCCGAAGTTGAATTCTGCTCTGTAATTCAGTAGCCCTGAAACCGGAAAGGGCGAGAGACTGTTGATCGAAGTAGCCTACAACTTTCCCATATATTTCACAGGTGATATATAATCTTCAAAACCCCTTTAGGAATTTGTACAAGCAGGTGCATTTTTCCATGGTAAATGATCAATAAGTTTTTTTAAGCAAAACATAGGTCATGTAAGTTCAGCATAATATTTTTAAAGGTATTCAAAGTTTATTTTAATCCCAGCTCTAATAACATTTGTATAGAAACAAATTTGGAGGATTTTCTCCCCATAGCAGATGCAAGCAGTTTAATTTACTTTGAACTAGCTCGGTGAAATGAAGCATAATTTGGCTGAAAATAAGTTCAAATAGCATGCTGTATTTTGTCACAAGATTGAATATATAAGTATAACATAGACTGATTTTAACTGCAAGTCACCATATCAAAATAGATGAAAATTGCTTTTCTGACCTGATATTTGGAATCCCTCCATTTTGCTCCTTAAAAAAATCCAGTGCTTTATTTTGATAGTTTTTATATTTTGTTTCTAAATGATGAGCTAAGAGAGAAAATTTCCCACTGGAATTTGCCATTGTGGCTAAAACTTAAGCAATACACAAGTATGAATCACAGTGATTGTAAACTATACGATGGCCAAAACCTTCACAGTGGCTACAATGGCATGATACATCCACTGAGGATCTTAATCTTGAGCGTATCTGATTTCAGTTTCTCCTCTGCAATCACTCAAAATACAGTGAGATTCAACTGTTCGGTTATAAAGAGAAACTATTGAAATAATTGCTTTATTTACTGAGGTTCGTTATTCATAACTACAATTGAAACAGACGCCCTTTACCCTCCCTAACATGAATCCCTGGTTTGTCTTAGCAAATCACCATCGGGCTGGAAGCCACTGTGGGAGATCAAGATTTGGCCACCCTGAAATATATCTCTTTACCTTGATTGTTTTCTCTAATGGATCTTTGACCTCCCCCACTAACTGCCTAAAGAATTTGACATAGAAGATCTGTTCCAGGAAGGAGTTACTATCTGATGGCTGTAATATAATGTAAAATA